TAATTAAGTGAATGACATGCTGAAAGAAAGCTCCTGGGTCAAACCTCGATCCTCTTCAACTTCGGTTTTGGAAATTGTGGCGGAAGCGGATTATTTTTACTTGTTTACATAGTGATGGTGATTGCTTTAGTAAAATGGGGCGAATGATGACTAACAGGTTGGTGACCATTAGTTTGCTCTTTTTGCTTCTCCATGTCGAATTTTTCGTGTATCACTTTCGCACCTATGCTGTGTCGTATTGATAGGTTTTCATGTACTCGTAGTTCGTAGAGGTTTTATATAAGTGTGAGCCAGCATTTTCTGCTCTCTCTCAGCTTGTTTGCAGGTCTTACGACTGATCATTTTTATGCGAGACACGAATTGCTTCTAGCTAGCTTGGGTTTTTCACTAGCATGTATCATCCAGATGAATCTTCTGCTTTTCATACCCTTAACCGACCGTGACCTACTTGTGAAGACATGGTAAGAACCAGTTGATCTGTTCACATTACAGCTCAACTTTTGAAAAGTGTCCATTTGTTTTCCAACATTTCGTGGATTTTTACTTGAATGTAATGGCCTTATAAAGCAGGTATTTGGTCAGACATTGGGATATTAAAACCGAATAAGGATATCCAAAGGAATCTAGTTGTTTGAAACAGGTGTTGTTGCGTAAGCCTGTGGTCATTCGATCAGCCTAATCCAGTCGAAAGTGTTGGAGGGAAATAACGTGAAGTTTGACATATAAAGTTTTGGGAGGGTGTGTTGAGCGTACAAAAGGCTAAATGTATGGGTCCGAAGACAAGTTACGTCGTACTGATTATGAGTATAATAACTATTGGATGACGTGTAGCCAAATCGACCTTTCTGATAGTTACGTACCGGCGACTGCAAACTTAAGCGGATTGGTATACTTTGACTGCCTAACAGAGACAACAAGCCCATCCTATCTGACGACATAGTCGTACCTGGTTGGGACAGGTTTACAAAATTATGCCACAAACATCCCTTTGAAAAGAAAGCGCTGTGTTGACAGCGAAATAAAAGTGATCCCTAACCACACATTTCTCAAATCTGAAAATACATATAACTGGTCGTTGATTACTTGACGAAGACAAGTAAATGTCAACACGCAAACGCTTGATACGGACCTTATGGCTCATCCACGCGGGCTTAGTCGCTATATCTCACCTGATTTTTACTTAATGTGTTGATCTATCAACAGCCTACATATATTCTTTAATGAATTTCAAGGGTAATATCATCGACTGTCACGTAGGGCCATTCAGTATAGACAACTAAGGACGTTTGACTTAAAATATTATAAATTAGGCAATCGGATCACAGAAAGTATGCATTAGTGTATTTGGTTTATCATTTTTGTTATTGATGACTTTATCCAATATTATATTTTTGGTACGATCTAGAATTCCCAGCACAACGTATTTCAACAAGTTTCCTTTTCTCATTTCTTGATCGATCTTAGTTATAAACATTTGGCGATCGCCGGTTAGGTGTTAGTAGTTCAGGAATCGATATTCGAATAACGTTCATTATTTTCAGTGCCTGTTACCAGCCACAGCAATATCCCTGATTGTACGTTTTTGTAATTTGTACAGAGAAATGTCGCAGACATTTCATAAACGCACCTGAATAAGTTATGTGGTCAACAAACATGATGATGTGTTAAAACGAACGAAAACAGATAAATTGTTGAAATATCTGGATAGCAGGAACAGTTAGGTCAGAAATTCAAGCACTTCTCCGGCACCACAAGTAAATGCACTAAAACTGACCTAGCCTTAAGCCATAATAGTTTTTCATGAGTTTATTGTAGTATTCAAAGTACCTCAAACAATTACTTTAAAATTTGCTCCGTTTACCTGATTTTCGGTGTGTTTGTTAGGCCTGGCCTCTGCACTTGATTTGTTTATAGTTATGAGGTATATCGACTGGCTTCGTTTTTGCCTTTGTATCCATTGTTTTGTTCATAGACTCTAGGAAATGTCAATGATGAAGATGTATGAAGCATTTTGTGTCATTGATTGCTGAAAATGTTGTCTCAGCAGACTTGAAATCATATGTAAAAAGACCTCTGTTTATTTGTTGACTTTACGTCGCCTGTAATTATATATAATTTTGTCTCCATTTTCATTCAGTAGTCCTGGCAACTAGGCAAAGCAAATGATGCGACTGAATGAATGTCGTGAATACCTCTTCAAAGTGACATTTTCAACAGTATTGTTACTTTTTGAATTTGCATGTGAGCTTTCATCCATGACTCATATAATAACATTTTCATATTACTCTGTTCCCTATAGTTAACTGTTAACGCAGATAAATAGCTGAATCAATCTATATGAGAATTTTTGAGTTCACCAAGTCATTACAAGTGTGCTTGCGAAATTCATCCTTGATAGTAAAATCGGATACCAAAACCGTTAAGAGTGGGAGTAAAACTCAGTAACGGTCACTGCTGGTATAATGATAAATTAAAATTAGGTTTAAAATAATAGCCCGGGACTTATCCGTTGATTTCTGGTACTAGAAGAGACGAATGATCATACAGCATACAGCTTTTTTACGAGCAATCGCCGACCACCATCGCAGATTCAGCTTTAGTGAACAATTGCGGGTGGAGTTTGTGGCTTCCAAACTGAAGTGATTAAGGATGAGGAATAACTGTTAAAGTCAGTTTAGTTGTGAGTGATCTCATCTAGTCAAAATCCAAAACAAAGTGGTTGGATGAAGAACAGTTCTAAATTCTTTAGCAAAGTTAAATGCACATTACTACTTTAGCAAATATCATTACCATGTTCTCAAATCAGTAGCTGTTAAATGGATACTGAAATAACGTTCAACGAACAATCGTTTTTATTAGCATGGAAATGTTATACTACCTTTTCTGAATGTATCATATTCATATTGTAGAAGAAACAATACACACTTGTTATAGCACCAGGTGTCTCCAGTTCTAGAACCGTGGTTCATTTCACAATCAAAAGTGGATAATTCCAGATATTTCAAGCAACACAAACGAAAAGAGGAACAAAATCAATATGGAGGCCGAAATGGTCGAACATAAAGTGAAACAACGTTTGTGTAGTCTATGAGAAGCCTACAAATTCACTGAAAAGGTAGAAAACAGAAATCGCAATATAAGATAACTAATGTAAGCTTGACTAAAGTCGGAAACTAATCGAGATGTACAAGTGAAGAGGTCAAGAAGAATAAGTTATGGGAGTGTGTACATGATGGGGTATTTTCACACACAATTACGCAAAAACCCTAAAGGGACCCCACGAATTTTGCTTCTCGTTGGTAGCGACAACTACGTTGTTCTGTCTAACTGGCAGGATATAGATGTTCCTATTTTCAGTCATTATATGCGTGTGGGCTAAACATCTAGGTGCAATGAGAACTCGTTTACCGAAACAGGTAAGTAAAGGGTAAAAATATCCAACCTCGGCACAAAAGTAGTCATATATTAGCATAAATATTATCATTTTACAGCTGAGAATATAGCTGGTGATGCTTTGATGTCTGTAATTTTCCCTATCCTGATTTGGAAGTTCTTGATGTGTGCAACGCAATGTAGCTGTTATGTACTGAAACACCGGAGTCGTCTCACTGTGACACGCTCAGATAGACCTCAATCCCTTCTCATAAATAGATTACTCAGTCCAAGTCCTCCTATCGACAGCCTATAAGCGACTGCTATTTCATAGTATACTTTTCCGAGTCGAAATTTTAAATGAAAAATCAAGTCTTTTAAGTAGAGGACTTTTCAAACCGTATAAACACAAATAATATGGTCAGTTAATGAAACCTTAGAGTATTTATTAAGTCGTGCAATGTTTCTTGACAAACGTCACCAATACAATCACGCAACTTGTCACAATTTCTATGAGTGTTGTAATGATTTATTTATTCATTTGTATGAAAACAACAGTCATACATGAACGGTCAATCGCTTTTTAATTTTATAGTTTAAGTCCGTTCTTTTAGGCAGTAATTTGCATGGATTGGAGGTTTTCATCTTTGATGCTGTGTTGAATTTTGTGTTTGAAAGTTGCCATTTTGAAGACCGTACAGAAGTTGGTCATAGGCTCTGGTTTGTCTCGTGGAATGTTTTTGCGCACTAAATATAATGTTTTCTTGTATAACAAAGGACAACTTTATCTAACTACAGGTGTCAACTCACCAAAGTAAGTTAGTCTCATAACTCTAGCCGCTTGTTCGGGTGAGGCTATATAACCACTGAACTTTTTGTTTGGAATAAACTGTCGTAATTAGCGACATCTGGTTTTCTAGAGAGAATTGTTGGATAAATCACTAAACAGACAACCAATTTATGGTTCAACCATACTAGTGGAGTTCATTTTTACTTATTTAACCTTATAGTAATTTGCAACCTTACAATTACATGGTATATTTACAAAATTAATTAACTTACTGAAGAACGTTTGCGCATAGTTAGAAAATTTTTAAGCTACCAGAGAAACAAGAGAACAAACCGAAATTCGGATCAAGCAAATACCTCATGATCGTCCAGTCGGAAAACAAGCAAACGAAAGATGAAATGCAGAAGTGATACTCAGTGTTTAAGTGCGCAAGTAGGAGCATAACTCAGGGAAATCAACGTATATTCCCCCACAAAGCCCCATTTAATATCCACAGCGAGATCCAACAGTGAGTTTTTAGATAGACTTTTCACGGTCAGGGCACAATGTATAGAAAGTTTCGGGAGATTGAACGGTTATTTGTTATGCCACGTAATGAAAGCGTGTAGAATTGTTCATCTATAGACAAAGGGAGCGAAAATTTTTTGTCGTTCACACCAGCATAACACCAGGATTTATTAAATCGAAGTAAACATAATAAACGGCTTTTGAAATAGTTGTCAAACTGTAGGACGAAATAATCTAAAAGTTGAAGTGACAATTTAATAATTGAATGATGTCATTTTACAAATAGAACATTTATTAAGTATTACGCCTGAACACCCACATTTTTGTTTAACTTGATCAACGTAAAGATTTCAAGATGAACTTTGACGATTTTGATAGAAACTTGTATATGTGATGTCGCGGTAAGATTTAGGATCATAAAATAATGTTTTAAAATTTACTGATCAAAATTTAACATAAAAATGCTGCTTTTTAATGTTATTAACTTCTGCAAATACACAATCCGATGGCAGGTATTAACACAGCTGTGTTACGAAAATGTGCGATGCTAATTATTGTTCCAGTCTCCATAGACACCCATCGTGGTTTGCAGAATTCAGAAAGTAGTTTTTATAATACACGTTTTAGTAACAAATATATTTGTTGATTAGATCTACTTCATCACTAAACATCAGAACTGCCTTTTCTATTTTGGTGTTGTCTTCTGCATTCCTGGTCTAGCATAAATTTAACTGAATTTATATTTGTCTGTCGTTCAGATGGTTATGCTTGAAGTTTTTTGTTCATGTTTTGCCCAATTTTTTATTTTCATGTTCAGTTATGGTGTGGATATGCTTGTTCTTTTTGAAGCTTCCAAATATCACGAAAGTAAATTTAAGCCACTCACTGTATAGGGTTCAGGAATCATGTATAATTTAGAGTTAAGCAATGTTAAGTAGACTTTTGACACTAATTTGTGATACTATATTTACTTTCAGTTTCACATTGCTCAGATTTAGAATGTGAACCTCGATTCTCACTTGCATTAAAAATTTGAGGAGTTTCAGGTTCATAATAATTGTAGGTTTAATCCTGTTAGCAGTTCCAGTCTTCGTTACTGGATAAAAAGGCACGTACTAAAAGTTAGTGTTAACCACTCTGACTAGGATGTATGAATGTAGCAATACACAAATTATTGTATGGCATATTTCTTTATTAAAATGAATTATCCTTAAACTTTTGTGTATATTTTATGGTCACGCGCCTCCTAAAAGTTGACTCAGTCACCTGTTCTTCCGTTATTTTTCTTCAAAGTCTCATAAACAGCTTTCATGTTGCCAATAAAATCTGTTTATCAGTCTAGGTTTTCTCAAAACGTTTGTATACAGAAAGCTTCAAAATGTTGAAAAATAACCCGCTATCAGTAGGAGGTTTTTGATATCACTTTGAACCAAATGATTTTGTTTCACAATCAAGTAATTAGCACGACAAAAAATCATCCCAAGAGCTATGCGTAAGTATTAATACGGTAAGGATTGTGACTCATGGACATTATACTTGCTCAATTTATTTAATTTACTCTAAACTAGAGATACCACTTTAAAAACTTTTCATTTATCAAAAACTGTGCTCACTTAATAAAATAATCTTTTAACTTTTTATTCGTACATTCTTAAGTATAAATTGAATAAGAGGAACGTAAACTAGTGGATCTTCCGCTCTTTCACTGAAATGTTCTACTGCATTTTACTAAGGTGCATGTTATTTCCTGAAAGTCGCATAAAATTATTTATATTTCTGAGTAAAAACCCCAAATTCGATCAAATATATATATATATATAGTATTTTTCGTTTCATAAAAGTGTTGGGTTTGATAGTGAGTCTCTCAGTTACTCGACAATCATAAGAACTAACGGATGCCTATTTTTTAGTTTAGGACTAATAATCGTGAGCTACGATAAGCTATTAAAATTCTGTGGTACTTAATATAAAAGTAAGTTTGGAATGTTTCCTCCGGAATTCAAAGGAATTTTGACGGAAACTAGTCGTGTACAGATACTTAGTCGCCATATTTATCGTTGTTATTAGATAGACTTCTGAAAATTTATAATATCGTTGTAGGCAAAGTGTTAATTTTTAATCACATGAATGTGCAGCTCTAATTCTCATTCAAATCAGCAAAAATATGCGTATTTTGTGTAAAAAGCAACAAGTTTACAGACCAACACACATTTAACACTGCCTAGCATCTTGTCCTACCATGCAATATTTAAATGGGTCGCGAAGGTAATCAGCGTGTTAATCTATGACTCAGTTTCAGTGACCGAGGAAACTGAATAAATCGATAAAAACACAAAAAAACATGCATACTCAAAGGTTTTATACGAAAAGTTAATCGTAACTTATTTAAGAACAAGTACAAACAACTTAGTGTGGTTATTAATGGCCCACTTAATATTTACAATAAAGTTGAGCACTTTACCAGTTTTGACGAGAGTAAGCATTAGTAAGTATCAGGATGCAACAAGCAGTTAGTAAAGGTTAGGTATATACTTATTTTCACGTATTATTTTTCAAGTTATCAGCTTTCATTATTGTTGATTGACTTGAAAGTGGATACTTAATTGTAAGACAACAGAAAAATGTGAATTAAAGTTATTATTATTTTTTGGCTGCTAAGAGAAACGAAGCTTTTGTTGCTTAGAAATAGGCACAGTACACTAGTTTATATGTGATTTGACCCTTCAGTATGTTTTTTCGTAAAGGGTTTCTTTTTTGAAGTTTTTCTATGTGAGTGATATATCATTTTCGAATTCAAAAAATATTTAATAATACTTTTAACATTTCAACTGAAACAAACTAACTAAAACAAAAATAGTGCTAACACGGGGCTGATCAGCCGCAGTTTTAAACAACAATGGAAAGATACGAGCAAACAATACCAAGTGAATTCAAAAATAGTAGGTTTTAGTGAGTCAAAACAGTCAAATCCGAAAGACTATTAAACAAGAAAAATATGACTGTATTTTATACTAAGTAACATGTATCAAGTGAGTATAATTTAATGAATTGGTAGGTAAAAATGTAACATTCAAGCAACAGAGCTACAGCTCAGTAAGCTTTTTTAAACGATCCTTCACTTGTGTACATACGGGAGAAGCTTTGTTTTGTCCTTAAACGTTAAATGTCACCAATTGATCTAGAGTTTGTCATGTTTCCGGATTTTAGAGCTATAAAAATAACGATATAGAATACATTCATCCTAGGAATATATTTGGTGTGATACATAAGTCAATAGAAATATGTTAGGCGAGTGAAGTATCCTCCTTAGATTAACTGCAGCTATCTATTTCAGTTCATTAGAAGAATAATGATTTAATGCGATAGTTTAACTGACATCAAAGTCATTGTATTAACTGTTCGAGTAATAAACAGGCAAAAGTAATTACATCTATAGGTAGGCCGAATATTTCCGTATAGTTTTTATTCTTTGTCAAGCCTGAATGTCATATGTCAGATGCTATACTTCAATATGGGTGAAAAATTACTCTTGGACATAAAGTTTGGCTAATTCACTTGATTTTTATTAGTAAAAAGACATTTTTTCCATCATCGGGGTTTTTACCGTTAAACGGTGTTCCTCACGGTCATCCACTATCCTAGATTCCGTTTAATTTCACCATAGATGTCCTCCCATAGGTTTCTTCTTTGTTATGCAACCTTTAGAAGACTGATGTATTTAATGAAAAACTACTAATCATGTAGAATACATGAATTATATTTTTTCATTTAGTTGAAACGCTGACAAAAATTCGTTTCGTCCCCTAAACTCTCTGACTAATAGCATAAGCATTTTTAGAACTTTTTCTCTCTGGCTGTTAAATATTTGCTCAAGACAGGTTTGAGTCATAGCCTAGTTTGGTAATAGTAAACGACTCTGAGAATCGACCATTTGTCTGGTACTGGAGGTTATATTAGTTCTTGATGGATTGGTTCCTGGGGAAATCTAGGCACGAATTCGGGAAGCTTACTTATCTTTTTTCAATTTTCGTCAGCCAAAGTGTAGGAAACATGTTCATTTATCAAAAATTGCGAATATACTGACCAGAAGTTCACTCATCATTGCATTACAGAGGGGAAAATGGTCAATGTAAGTAAAACACGTGTTTAGATGTCACGCCTTTGGAGCACAGCTTGTGTATTGAGGAATAACGGGGTGATCTTTGTCAAGGTAAGCAATAGATTACTGAGCAGCGAGGAGGAACCAGTTGAAGAGGCTATGAATGTGCATCAATCAAAGTGGCTGGGACATATCACGCGCACGCACAATCAACTGTTGTTTTACCATACAATTATTTGCTGGAGTGGAAGCAGGTCAAAGGAAGAAAAGTAGAGGTCAAACCAAAATGTAACACCAGTTTATATACTCAATGAATATTGATTTGAGCCAAGCAGGTAGATGAAGTCTACCTAGTTTGGGTATGTGCGATAAGTATGGTCTGTGGTTGAAGACGTTAAATGACATGGCTAAAAAATAGACAATATGATGAGAGTTCATTCACTCCTTTCCTTTTTCTGTATCTATGTCTTTTATGAATACCTTTTCATTCCGTCTTCTGTAGCTGATTTTTCAACGCCTTATTTTTGTCATTATCATTCGTACAGTTATTTTTAATTCCTTTGCTACTCATTTTGATAATCTAATCTCATTGTGTTAGTGTTGTATGGAAACTAGGGCTAATACACATTTATACCAGGTTCTGCGTTGCTTGTGACTAACTGATTATTCTCCAGCTGATACAAGTCTAGGTTGAACATGATCACTACGTTATATGATATCACAAACATTAAATTTCAGGAATTCACCAATTCTTTTTTAAACCTCTGCATTTTACATTTGTTGTTGTTTTAGATTAGTTATATGCTATTAAATAACTGAAAATTGTAATATGCTATTTTAAGGGCTGTATATACGTAGTATCTAACAACTCTCATAAAAGATGCTTGTTTAAAAACGACTATTCGAATCCGTTTTAAACACAATTTTGATCTAGCAGAGTAAATCATTTACAGTTGCGAACAATGCCACCTTAGTTTAGATAAAATTTAGTTCACATTTTCATTAATTTAATCACCCATAGAATTGAAAGATAACATGTCCATTTGATTTTATTCACTATTCATCTTTTGGTTATATCTTATTCATACACTTTCTTAGTATCTATAAATTGAACTGTTACAATCTAATTTAATTAGTTCTAGAAAGGATTCAACAATCAATGAATTCTTATGATTAAGTGTTAACTAGAACTTAGATAGTAATTAAATATCATAGATACTAAGATTAGTCAAACTATCAAGTTATTTCATATAACCTTTTCCATTTCTAAACTTAAATAAAGAGAAAAAAACTAATATTATA